GTTTTAATTTATTCAAATCAGGTTACACTTCCCAACATAATGGTCGTTTCTTCACACATCCGTTGATGATGGTACGTCGTGTTGAAAACAGCCAGTTTTAGATGGAGGAAAAACAAAAGAAAGTAGTATTTTAGCTGGTACTGCGCAGATGAATATCGCCATCCTTAAATCACCTTGTTAACTTTCTGTATAATCACAAAAAAAACTAGACATAGTAAACCAAGCAAACTAACACCTGTAATGTAGCTCGTGACTAGTTTCACGTGTTTTGCTTCTTAAAGCTCGTGCTCACGAAAGGACGGCGTCGCTTTCATGGCCTAGTGCGAGATTAAAAGATGTCACGTGAACTTATGTGTAATTACACCCGTCCTTACTTTTTACTAACTCACGTGAAAAGAAAAATAATTAATGCTGACGGAAACCTTTACTTAAGAGAAAATTTTATTACTGTTTTATTCCCGATTATATCAAATTCCTTTTATGCTAAGAAAAATACATTATGCTTAGTATAAAATTAATGTCTAAACCCGTATGGTTTGTGTTCAGAAACAATCGCAAAGTTTAGTACGTTTAAGTATACGGTGTTGTAACCATTTGGTGGTGGTGGGGGGGGGGGGTGATAGTCCTGTCCCCCATGGCGGGTTGCTGCTCCCTACCACCGTAAAGATGGTTCTGAGATTTGTAAAAAAACGACTAGAAAAAAAATATATAAACTGACTCTTTTTACATCCTTTGTACTCCCACACACACAATCCCAAATCCTAATTACGTCACTTTTATACAAGTAACACAGCACTTACTCAACGTTAAAAAATATATTTAGGGCTTAACCGTGTACTTAGAACTGTAGTAATTGAATATGGGGTTCACAAATAAATTCAGGGCATCGGTGAGAGTAAAAGCACACAGAAGTGTATTCAGGACACTAGTGAGAGTAAAATGTACTCAAGAGTATATTTAGGGCATTAGCTACACTGAGAGTAAAACACTCAGCGGTTAATATAGGGCACTAATGAGAGTAAAAGATACTCAGAAGTATATTTATCACATTAGTGAGAGTAAATATATTCCCAGAAGTATATTCAGGACATTAGTCAGAGTAAAAATATTCCCAAAAATATATTCAGGACATTAGTCAGAGTAAAAATATTCTCAAAAATATATTCAGGACATTAGTCAGAGTAAAAATATTCCCAGAAGTATATTCAGGACATTAGTCAGAGTAAAAATATTCCCAAAAGTATATTCAGGACATTAGTCAGAGTAAAAATATTCCCAAAAGTATATTCAGGACATTAGTCAGAGTAAAAATATTCCCAAAAGTATATTCAGTACACTAGTGAGTAAAATGTATTCAAGTGTACATTTCGGTGGCCAGTAAGAGTAAAAGATATTCAGAAGTATACTTGGGCACCAATGAATGTATTTGTTATGTGTAAAGATTGAGACGAAACAACATATACATAGGAAATGCATGTTAACGTACTTTTACATTTACTTCGTAACTATTTTGACAACCCGTATAAATATCTAATGAACATACCCTACTGTTTTAGTGTTTATTTTACTTCACGCATTTTGTTGAAGAAAAAACACATGATTCGTTTATACGTCTGGTAAAACAAACATCAAATTATTTGCTATTTTTAAAACATCGAAATAAACACTGGCTTAATATAACACGTGCGTTAGTCAGGCAGGAAATTCTTATCACTATGAAGAAGCATCCGGTCAATAAATGCTATCGTGTTTTTAATTATCATACGCAATTCATTAGAATTTTGTTTTGATTTCCCTCTGTAGTTAACCGTAGATTAAGTACGTGACCTATATAACACCTAGAATTATATTCTCAATCTAAGACACAAGTCTGTTCATGAAGTGCCTGGAGGAAATTATCCACAGCTTCATTAACATAGAAATATCTTATAAACTCTTACTTAAAAGTTCATTTACGTCAACGAGCACGATTCAAGCATCAGCACACAGTAGAAGATCATACTTTGTCAATATAATATATGATATAATTGCCAGATAAGAAATATTTTACGTTTAACAACTGATTAGTATTAAACAACTTTTCCAAAACAATAAATATATTGATGAAGTTGCAGAACACTGGAGCTCTGTAGAGAGAAATGGACTTGATTTTATCTCCATATACATGTTTTATTGTCCTTAATTAAAGTGTTGATAAATACAATAGTTGAAATTTGGCAGATATTCTTCAACAACAGCTTTAAAGGGAGGGGGGGGGGGCAAAATACAACTAAAACATACTCTTGTCCACACATGATCCTTGATAAGGCGAATAATAATAATACACTATTATCAGTTATTAATTGCATCATTACAATTGGAATGGCTCTCCCGACAGACCTTAAAAATCACTATACAAAATGTGTTTGAGAACGACTTATTGCAAGTTACGACCTTGACCTTAATGCTATTGAGTGTTGGCGAAAAGAGTACGTGTCACTTAACTGTAAAAAAGTGTGTATTTATTTCAGCAAATATGCGTTAATAAAAAACAAAAACAGTTTATGCTGGTGATTGTATTTAATTTTTTGTGAGTGTATTCGGATGGAAATAATTACGAATTATTTGTAGACAAAAATTCAGTTCGTTTTCATCTGCATGTTCCGGATTCAAGTAAATCTGTCGCCACCTGTGTTAATTTAGAGAAATATGAAATTTATCGCTTAGTGGCATATCGTAGAACTTATCTTGCAGGTGTAACGAATGTTTACCAGTCACGAAGTTATCTTCTACCAACAAAACTCTACATACTGGATTATTATTGGCTTACACTTGTGTTCTGGAATAGCTTATGATAATATCCATCAGATCATCACTGAAACGTACCAAAAGAAAATACAAGCAGTTAGAATACAGATGTTTCTTTCCCAATATTAACTTATATTCCCTCTGTGCTTATTCATACTAAGTTTGATTCACGTGTAAAATAATATTTCGAGGCAGTACTGACCAGCTTTGAAGATGTTTTGGTAAAACACATAAAGTAGTTAACGTACAGTATCAATACAGAAAGGCATCAGTTGATAAAGAATCTAATGGAAGGTATTAAATGCGTCCGATCATGCCAATTCCTTAAATTAACCACTTCCACTTTGAAGGGAATGTTATCCTTTCATGGAGTACCAAAACATTACTTATTTTTACAAACTGTTCGAAATAGAAATCATTCAGAAAACAAGAATGGTGTAGAAAATTAGCTCCAAAATCATTTTCATAGAAGTGAAATTTCTAGGCACACAAAAGTAACCCAAGAAAATCAAATCTAACATATTTTATTATCCATTTGTTTTTTAATCAAAATTTCATATTTAACTATCTGGTTGCAAAAAAAATATATCAAAAGATTCAAGATTTATTTTATAGTTTAGTAAGTTCGTAACATCAAAGCTACGGGCGCAAGGCTGAGAAAGGTATTGTTCATTTGAGGCATTGTGGGATATGTTTGAAAACGATCGCTTGTACTTTTGTTTTAGACACTAAAATAATGTCACTTAAGGGACGCTTAACGTTGCAATTTGTACATGAATCTCGAGAAGAATTATGCACTCTGTAGGCTAAAATACAGCATGACATATAAACGTTAAAAGCAAAAAATATAAATAATTTTTACGATTAATTTTGGTTTTATTTACTATTAAAATAGAACACCTTCGGGAAACCTGCGGAAGTACATCTAGTTTTATTAAGCAAGTATGAGTAGTGGAGAACAGGTGTCGTTTAATCGCTTCAGTTGGCTACCGCGAGGTTGTTCAACACAAAACAATATTACGCTTGTCAACTTCAATTCTTTGATCAATCGCTGGTATGTGATATGAATGACAACGTTAATTCTACGAATGTTCGGCGACTTGCGTGAAATTGTTTCAATATACAATATTCTACTAATTTCTTCGGAAAAAGAAAATTAACGTGATACTTGTGATAAACTTTCCCACTTGTTTGTTTTGAATTTTTCGCGCAAAGCTACACGAGGGCTATCTGTGTTAGCCGTCCCTAATTTAACAGTGAAAGACAAGAGGGAAGTGCAGCTAATCATCACCACCCTCCGCCAGCGCTTGGGCTACTATATGACCAACGAATAGTGGGAATGACCGTATATTATAACGCCCCCACGGCTGAAAGGGCGAATATGTTTGGTGAGACGGGAATTCGAACCCCCGACCCTCAGATTGCGAGTCAAGCGCCCTAACCACTAAATTGACTAAAAACAGTGTATGAGAATTAAAATATTAATTCTCTTCACATAAAGGATACGACAAAATTTATTAACACAAACAGCAGTGTATGAGAATTAAAATATTAATTCTCTTCACATAAAGGATACGACAAAATTTATTAACACAAACAGCAGTGTATGAGAATTAAATACTAATTCTCTTCACATAAAGGATACGACAAAATTTATTAACACAAACAGCAGTGTATGAGAATTAAAATACTAATTCTCTTCACATAAAGGATACGACAAAATTTATTAACACAAACAGTATTCGCCAGTTGACTACTTCTCAATAGAACTAGACTCTATAAACAATAATTGAAATTTGAACATTATATTGTAGATATTCGATATTTATCATGAAAATACGCTTAAATTCATACCATAGTTACTATTTTATGAAGAAAGTTGCCATCTGCAACGTTGAAAGTTTATATAATTAACTGTTAATTGATCTGTTTATATATTTAAATATCATTAAAGCTGAGAAGAATTATAATTATTATAGAACAAAAGCTGTGGTTGCAGTTTATAAAGATACAAACAAAGAGAACAAAATATATGGAACTGGAAATAATAAAAAATGATGTAAAAAATTGTAGGTTTGAAAGCTTTATTTTATGCTCTCGTAGTAGTAGTGGGAGTCATAGAAGCCAGTATGAAATACACGCAAGGCCTAAGTTTTAACCTAGTCATTTCACTGAACGTATATTTAACAGTGTGACTTAAAAGCCGAGCTTACCTTGCAACTTACGTTCTGTCTCCCAGAATTTCTGCAGTTCTGTAAAATATTTGTCCAAAATGAAAACTTTCGACAGTCCAAGTGTTGCCATTACTGTCACTGTAGCACTTCTGATGAATCATCCGGTCGCGCAGTTCTACGCAGTCGAGCATTAAGCATGAGATACACTGTTCAAAAACCGGCACTGTACACACGAAATGTCCTAGAGACAAATCGTAGTTTTTAATAATATAATTGTAAAGTTTTGAACAATTTAGTTGGGTTACACAAAAAAAGCGTTTTTAACACACCCGAAACTTAACAAAGCACTATAACAAAAAAGTACCCGTATTGTGAAGTAGCTAAAGCTTTAAAATCAAGTAGAAGCAGCAGTCATCATTTTCGGTTATTAAACTCACGGACTATCAACCAATGTTTAGATGGTTTCGTTCTAATTATAAATAGTAATTAATCATCTACCTCAAGAAATGTGACAGACGCTCACTCACAAAATTGCTATACTGATAATGGCCAGGTTCTAGTTCTACTTTCTGACACAACTACAGGTAAGTAGCTTTCTCCCGCGTTGATCTGCAGCCTCTACCTCAATATGAATTCGTTGCTAAGCCTACCTGTCGGAAATGGACCTTGAAGAGGCCAAGTTCAGAGTAAGCTCACCTAACAAGTCATTCAACAACTTAGCGTCACGTTTTAACTGATTAAAATATTTCTTTATCCCCTTTGTAAACGCTTTCTAATAATTTTCTTATGAACAGGACCAACCTTTTGAATTTGCGTGTTGTTCGCTCACTCATAACACCTTAACTAACTATAGCTACTAAACATAAGACTGCACGTGTACAGAAGTACCCACCTCAGGCAGATAGAGGCCCGCAGGCACCTACAGTCACAGAGACCTCCCATCTTCACAAGACCGCTCGCTAACCGTGACCCTAGCGACGGCGGGAACGGGCGCGCGCACTGTTCGAGCTGATTGGCCCCTATGCCGCCGCAGGCGCTGCCGTCGCTTTGTTGACGGTGGCTGAATCAGGTAAAGCGGTTTTGCCCAGTAACCAATAAGATAGGGAGGGGGGATTAAAGCAGGTTAAGTAACATTCTCTATCATAAAAACAGAGAAGCTTGCTTCAGATTGAACTTTTTACCAGTAAGCAGTTGTTTAAATAAGAAATAATAAAATTTAAAATTATTTTTGTAAGACTTGCACTTTTCGTTGATTACACTGGATGTTACTGTAGACAGTCTGAGAGGGGGAGGGGGGTATTTGTTATGTGAAATGAATTTAAGTATTGGTGCTGACTAGAAATATTCAAATGAAATGATATAAAAGAGTACCATTGTTTTGTTTAATACTAACACTATTATACTTTGTATGATTGGTATGAGTTGAAAACAGATCATTTGAGAGATAAAAACCTTAGCAAATTCGTATTTAGTTCAAGTATTTTAAATACAGATAAAACGTGTATTTGTAATTTAAATATACAGTTCAAAAACATTGACATCAGCTACGTTTCAAGGAAAGATATCGATAACTTAGATTGTTTAAAGACTTTTCCAAGCGCCCAAGTTAAAACATTACGCAAATACTAAGTCAATAAAATAACATGAATATTTCGTGAGTTATTAACTGCATTACATTATTTACATTCTATTTAGCACTACTGATACATTGCTTATTTAGCTGTTAGATTATTATTTTTTAATGGATTACTTTATTGAACATATTTTTTATTTGATGACAAGTATTTAGTATCGTTACTCGGATGTTTGCGAACATAACTTCTTACTGCCATCTATCAATGTTCGATATGTTAAACCAGCATGAATTTAAACGTTTGAGCGCTGTGTTACTTTATGTAATAGATCTCAAAGCACAATCCGACAATAAACATAACTAAATCTGGAGCGCAGGCAGATATTTCAAATCGAGCTTCCAAAGCACAGTAGGTCCAAATAAAGACCAAATAGTACTTTAAGAAATATTTGCATAAAATAAAGAACTGGTGTCTTTGTAATCACATATTGTTGAAGACTCCAACAATACATGTGCGGGAATCAAAATATTTTCGTTCACAAAATGAAAAACTTTCAGCTGTAACAGGAGAGTTTCTAGGCACAACACATATCCCCTTCCTGTATGTGCTAGTGCATTTAATTTATATAAATGTAGTGAATTACTTATAATTATGATGAATAACTGGGTGGACGTAATTCACGTCAATATGTTTAACCCTCCCGTTTTAAAGTTTGTTGAAAAAATTATCTTTGCTTTGACGGGCAGAACTTATGTTTTGACGCATTCTAGCCACATCTATATACGCATTGTTATTAAACAACGTAGTAAAGTTTTAAATTACTTTCAATAACTTTATCATTGCTGAAATCGAAATACTGAGAAATAACACCTAAAGTACATCTTTGCATTTAGCGACATCTGTTGGATATTACTCAGAGCCGATAATTAATTACTCAGTATGGCAGCCCATAATAATATAATTGTTGCTATTGAAATTTCGAATTCTTTTTAATTATAAGTTAAATGTTGACAGAATAATGAAAATAATTATATTATTATATTACCTCTCGTTTGGGAGAGAAAAAAATATGTGGAAGTCACTCGTAGCTCTTAAAGAAAAGTGTATTCTTTGTCAGAATTTTCCTCTTAGGTTTATAACTTTCGCATGATTGATGTGTCGTTATAAATGGTTTATTTTAAAGTTTAGCTAAATGAGTTTCTACCAGTTATGTAGTTTAGCGTTTTGTTGAGGATAAAAGTTAAATTATTGAAAGTCAGTTTGTGGTCTTAAATGTTTAATCTGTTGGGTTTTGTCTTGTATTGTATTAACCTTATAGTTGTGAAATGAAGTATCTGAATAACTATTTAGAATAACCATTTATTTTGCATTTGATTATCTCAGAATTATTTAATGGTGCTAGACTTGGATGCTAAAATATTAGTGTTTAATCAAGTAATGGTCTAGTGTTATCTCGTTTCAGAGTATACAGATTTTTTTATAATCTTAACAGCCATTACAACTTTATGGTTCTCTCATAAATAGCATTTACACAGGACAAGATTAAGAATGAGTTTTATCGACTGAAATTACGATAGAAAAACCTGTTTTATACTTTTAACGATTTGTTGGAGAGAGTAACTTTACACATAAATTATTTTAAAATATATTTATCATAATTTTAAACGATAATTCCTAATTGATAATCGTTATATTACCGCTGTTTTTATATTTCTCTTGGCATATTCTCATTCGTAAAACTTAATTCAATAAACGAAATGCATTTATAAAGCAGTTTTTCAAATACAATTCATGCGTTATTATCTTTTATTTTTAATATTTTGTTCTCATAATTATTGTAGGGGGCCTGGCATGACCAGGTGGCTAGGGCGCTCGACTCGCAATCTGAAGGTCGCGGGTTCGAATTCCCATCCCACCAAATATGCTCGCTCTTTCAGCCATAGGGGCGTTATAATGTAATGGTAAATCCCACTATTCGTTGGTAAAAGAGTTGGTGATGACTAGTTGCCTTCCCTCTAGTCTTTCACTGCTAAATTAGGAACGGCTAGCACAGATAGCCCTCGTGTAGCTTTGCGCGAAATTCCAACAAACAAACCAAACCAAAACCAAACCATTATTGTAGGCTTAAACTATCGAGCTAAAAACATACATACACACATACTAGCACGCATATACAGACGTTAGCATTAGTTGTCCTTTAGATATCAAAAGAATAATATGTTATAAAATGTCAACCACACCACATCTGCCATATCCAGTGCCGACGAGGCCTTTCGCCCGATACCAGAGATCATCAGGACGGGTTGGACATATTAGTGGTCTAGGCACTATAAATATATATGAACAACGATTGATATGGTGTGATTTATATGAATGAAGTAACGCAACTAAACAAGGTAAGTTCAATACTAAAAGTGTTAAAGACCTTTTATTCTCAGTAAACGTGTGTTTCTATTTCAGAAAACAGAGTTTTACACTGAAAAAATTAATTATTGTTCAGTAATGTCTTAAAAATAACACCCGAATCCTGACACTTATTTTAATAGTGTGGTAAAACAGTAGTATGCTCAGACAATTAATATATATATATATATATATAAGAATTAATAAACTTACTTATAAACGATTTAATAGGCTATGTAATTCATTAAGGTGTTAATAACCCCCCCAAAAAAAAACACAATAACCCTGATTGGAGTTAAGTACAAAGCTACACAATGGGTTATCTGTGCTCTGCCCATACGGGTATCGAAACCCGGTTTCTAGCGGTGTATGTCCGCGGACATACCGCTGTGCCACTGGGGTGATAAGTATATCACTGACTTTAGTTAATGAATAAGAATTAGTTTGAGCTCCGTAATCGTTTAATTAATCTTTAAATGGTATCATCTAGGTATTGAGCATAGTACAGTTAAATTAGACCTTAAATTCTGTCATAACTCTTCACGCCTGTTAAAGTCACATGGTAACCTTTAACGTTATCTTTAAAAAAGTTATGATTAAAAGTGAAGATAACCTATACATATATAGATAGGTTATTTTCACTTTAAAGCTATATATATATAAATATATAGTTGATTTCAGTAAGGACAGTAAGTATATCGTCCCCTTGGAAGCGTAGTAAGGCCTATTCGCAACTTAAATATTGCTTACCTTTATAAAATTATGGTGAAGTTTGTCAGATCTTAACTAAATACAATGTTAGTTATTCATAACAAATCAAGCTATATCTCAATATATCATAAACATTGTATAATTTTTGTAACTACGACAAGGATGAGATGTAACTTCAATGTTATCTTGCTAACAAGGCTTAACAGACTGACAGAAATGGCTTCACTTCAATAACATACAAAAGATACAGTGTTTGTTTACAAAGATAGGTATACGCTAATATTCAAGTGCTTAGCGTTTTTGGTAATGTTATACTTCAGCTATAAGATAAAATATTTCTAAATGTTAAGTTGCAATGCAGCAGTCTTTGTATCCTGTTGTTAGCAAAGTTATTTTCTCATCTCGATATAATGTTGTCATACAACTTATTAGTATAATTACAAAAGTTGCGAACAAAGATTAATGAGAATATGGATTCTTACCTTTTTTATTTAAATTATAATTTATCCCCCTACCATTACATTTTGTTAAAACTGACAACAACAGATGGCGACTGCTGTGATTTTACCTCAAACAGTTCATTTTAATCTACTCCATTGAACTATTTTGCACTGCAAACAGAAAAGTAATAAATAATTTTATAGTCAAAAAGTTTCATAACACTGCGTTTGTTTTACGTGAATTAAGACGTTCAAATGAGGATACAGTTTAATTATAATAAATATCCGCATTGCTTTTATTTTACTGGTACAAAATACTTTATTTGCAAGACTTTACATGTTTATAATATATAAAACATGGTATTGTAGTTCTAGCAAGGGAGAAACGATATGGATATAGCTAGGGCAAAAAAGAAAGAAAGAAAAATTGGCCCTAACTTTCCAGTTATCCCTAAGACACAGAAAAAAAAAGATTGACTGTTACTCTCCAGTTGCCTCTAGGACACAGAAACAAAATGATTGGCTCTAACTTTCCATTTAGAACAGGAAACGACATAACTAACTATAAGCTTCCGGTGACATACTGAATAAGAATATATAATAA